AATATTCTTCATATCATCTAATTCAATCTGATTGGTATGGTTTGGACATTCAGTACATTCGACTCCACAAGTGAAACCTTTCTCTTCATGAAACACTTAACATCTATAATACTAAGAAGTAAATTAGGTACGTCAACTGAGGCATAGCAAAAAGTTTACATAAGAAACTAAAGCTCATACCAGCAAGGTACTATAGAATGTGTACGGAAATTTGGATTAATGTGGTATCTATACAAACATTATCTGATAATAAATTTAAAAAAAACAAACAGTTCAACATACATTTTATGAGATAGTATTTAAGCCCTTAGGATCATATGAGATTAATAAACATATGAGATTAATACAGGATCGTGGTTGGAACAATAATTCGAAAATAATTTAAAAACCGAAAAATCCTGCATTTCTTGTATTCAATGAGAATAAGTTCAGGAACAAATTGTTTGAACCAATTGTCAAAGCACTTTTGTCACTCTGATTGAGCATGCGCTCTGAACGCTTTAACCGCCTCTTCAGGTGTCGAAAAACGTAGACCTCTTAGTTTATTTTTTACGAACGGGAATAAAATGAAGTCATTCGGTGCCAAGTCAAGACTATACGGTGAATGACTCATCTAATCGATGTTTTGACTGCTTAGAAAAGGAGTTGTGTCAGTCGATGTATGAGAGCTCGCATTGTCGTGGTGAAGAGTGATCTGTCTTCGGCGATTGGTTTTCCTGATTTCTTGAAAGACACCTGGCAACCAATTGGTTGTGTGCCACTCAAAATTAACTGTGCTGCGTTGTTTTAGTGGTAAGGTTACGACACTGTACAGTTTTAATTAAGTTCATCGATGCACTGTAGCTGACTTATCCACGTCGAAAGTTGTAAAAAAATAAATGCGGGTTAATGTTGGTAATTGAAGTAATTTTTTGGCCGATATGAATATTTTAAGCTACTGTAAACAACACAAGTAACACTCGTATGTCAAAACGTTCTGTTATGTATAACATTATAAATGTCAAACTTTACGATCAAGTTGTGTGTTGCCATATTGGAACACTAGGGTTGCCAAATACCGAAATATATAAGGTAACCTACGTATAGTATTTGATTTACATGCTTGTTAGGAAGTTATAGATTAAAAGCAAAATAAATATTAGTCGCTATTGCTGTGATTTGTTTAGTTTGCAATAAATTGCACAACTTTCGTTATGCCATCTTAATTTTTATTAGAGTTATAAGTAGTACCCAAGAATGATTAAACTGTCATGGCTTAACCAATTTGTCTAATCACTCTATTTCATTTTAATTTATTTATATGTATAATAAATTATTTGTAATGGAATGCTGCTTTTAACAACTGTTAACCGAGTAAAGTTGCAACATGTCACGTTTGGCCACGCCACTTGAACTTGACATTTGGTACCATAAATTATCACACATACTGTCCTAAAGAAAATTATTTAATAAAAATATCTTCGATAAGTATTTATGAAACCAACGCAAGACTACAATGGCTGGCGGTCGGTTGAAATGCAAGTTTATAAATAAACCAGATAAAAATAAAATAAAACTAAAAATAACTGTAATAAAAATAGCATTTCACTGCTGGCGCTAGTTATAGCTTGTATGAAAATGAAATTAAAATTGAATAATTAAAATGGAATGCACTTACCAACTGACAATTGTTGACGCTGGCAATATCACGCTTGCATATTTAGTTGCATAAGAGCATATGTATAGTTCAGTAATTTTGCTGAAAAGTGCAAATGTCACACACACATACATATGTATGTATGTAGGTACGTATGTATCCAATCCGCCTTTGTACGCCTCTGTGCCGGCAGTGTCCGTGTCAATTCGTTGGCATAAATCATTTTAATGCAAACAGCGCTTAATCGTAGCGGCATACTTGTGCAGAATGTATACATACATATATACTTCTGTATGCATATATCTGCAACATGTTGCCAGCAAAACACATTCACAAACACACACAGTGGAGTTTTATTAATTTATGCCTGCTAACTGGCCAAGTGCAAGCCAAACGTCATCTGTTGACACAGCAGCCGTGACCAAAGTAACACCTTATTTGTGCAACAACAACAACAACAACATTTGTTGGTAAATTAGCTTGTGCAAGTATTTATTGCCATTTTAGCGCAACTACTCGTAGTTTGGCGCAGAGCGCTGTGTATAGTGTATGTTGATGTGCGTCGCCGCCGCGTCAGTCAAGGCTGTTATTGGCGCCTTTAACGGCTGTTGCATTTGCTGCTTAATTAAATGTTGCATTTAGTATTTTTACTGCAATTTGATAACAGAATTTGTGTGCGATGTACGTTGGAATGTGGGAATAATATTTGCAGCTACTGTTGTTCAAATATCCATAAATAATTAAGTACATCCGATATGCGCTTATTATTCAAATATTTACATATACATATATACATATCTATTTTTGAAAGTCATAAAAATTAATTAATACATATTATGACCAACAATTGTCCAGAAATGAAGCTGTGAGAACAAAGTATCATAAGATTTATCATTCTTGATTTTATGCTAATATTGATTCAATTAACTTATATGGCCTCAGACTCGCCTTAATTAATAAATATTCCTTCTTATGACAATAAAAGCGTTAATAACATAACCGATAGGTGCTCGAAAATATTCATGACTTAGAAATATTTTTAAATATACCTGACTCGAATTTAAGGCGGTATAATATTTATATTTTTAATACGGTCGTCGCGATTTTCTAAGCTCTAATAAGTCGATTTACATTGCCATTGACTTGGACATAAATATTCTTCAAATATCTCAATATCATATAAACCAACAAAAACTGAAAATTTTTAAAAAATTTGAGAAACTTAAAAAATTGTTGGTTCATCCGATTATATCAATTGTGGTAATCAAGAATGCGTCATTGTTTTATTTTTAAAGAACCACAGAGGTAGAAATTCTGACGACGAAGATGCAACCTTTTTTTCGCATTCTACTTCAAGGAGGCATACATTTCTCAAAATTCACATTTTATTTTTGAAATTTATTTTCTGTGCTCTTGAAATATAAATAAATAATAAATGAACAGTTGAATTTCGGGTCTCTAATTGAGAATACCGCAGTAAAAGGTGCATCTCAGTTAGAAAATGTTTTTTCGTGTGGTTTAAGTCAAAGAGAATTTCAGACTACGTAGCTATTCATCCAGTACCATAAAATATTGCCAAAATATTCTGGGGAACTGCTGATAAGTTGACAGTTCTTCGTCGGTTGATAGTTTCATTATGGCTACATAGACGTTTGTCATGGTAACGAAACAACATACTTGTATAGCCTTAGACATCAAACCTGTCAAACGATTTTACCAACCGCAGTGTGGAATTTATTGAACATTCATCGTACTACCGTAGTTTGGATTAGTTATTTAAATTACTTTATTTTCATTCCTGCTTATCAGTAACGAAATATTGGGTCAAATGTTTTCACGCCAGAAAAAAACGTCGTATGCATACAAAATGAATTTACCCAAAAATCGGATGCTACTTTATTCTCAAATTAGTTCAAAGTCATTGACTTGAGTCATATGTAGAAAATTCGAAAAGGCAGTTTTAAACATCATCAAAATATTGGCGAAATATTATTTTTTATTTCCTACCAGAACAAAGCATACTTTCAAAATTTATTTACTATATGAACTGATATACTAACCAAGAGCTATAACCACAAATCTCTATTCGTGTCTTATAGTACTAAACTCAACTAGGATACTGCCAAAAGTTCTTTCATATTTTATCTAATCGTTCTCAAGTTATTGATTTCAAAGTGATGATAGCTTTAATATTTTTTACAAAAGAGTATTATTTGAATTTGATAAAACATTATGTATTTCCTAACGTAAAATGATCAGTGATGCAAAGTGCCAGGCCAAATTTCCTGAATAGTAGGCAAAAAAAAAATAGTAACTCTGCAAAACATCGCGAAAATTCATGAAATTAACATCGAGAACAGATAACAGAAAATACACTTCTACCTTATTTTATATAAAAACCAATAATATTTCTAAGAATACGATAATTTTCGATAACATTAATTTAAAAAAAAGTACTGTTTGACTTGGTTTGTATATTGAAAGCATTATTGGTCCATTATTATTTAAAACTAAAGATAGAACCAGAGTTATCATGAACGCCACAGAAAATGTTTCGTGATAATATTTGGTGGCATTCAATATCATTTTAAATCGCATAAGTGCTGAATGATGTCAGCTATGCGGTTCTAAAAGCTATATAGCGTGTTAGATAATCACTTTATGCTGAAGAACTCGAATCATATGGGTCTGTGAATTGATCATGTCATCACTATTTTTTATGAAGGTCCATAAAGTCAATGGTCTATGGTGAACAATTAGTTGCGACTGATTAAATCAACGAGATGTGAACGGTTTTGCTGGAAAAGGGTGCACAAATTTGGATCGACAGGATTGTCATTTCATAATTCAGTTCCCGTACTAAATGCAATAAAGTTTCGAAATAAGTAGGCTAAAATATTGGTAAATTTATTCACTTTTCTATATTTTACTTTAAAAACATCCTTTAGCATGTATTATTAAATAGATCTGTGAATGGTTTTGAAACAACATTAAAAGTTGAAATATATATTGAATACATTAAAAATCAACATTCAAGTTTTTAAAAATAAAATTAAAAGATTTCAAAATGTTATCGAAAAAGAAATTTCTCGCTTTTAATGTTTCTCTTGATTACTAATATTGACTGTGCTGAATTTTAAGAGTATTGAACTGAAAATAAATTAAATCAAAATATTGGAGTTTTTTTCTAAAATTCGATATCAAAAGTTCGAATCAAAACAAATTGCGTTAATTTTCAAAACAGTGCAAATTTTAATAATTCAACAATTTAGCTCAATTACGCTAAATAGCACTGATTGATTTTAATATTTTGTTCGTGTGCAAGTAATTGCGATTATCGAAAATGTTTTCATTCCCCATAGTGCATATAGTACTCGAATCACTTCGAAATGAAAATGTGGCTGATACAACAGATTTTATTTATAAATTTGGTGCTTTTCGCATATGTGGTTGGTACATTTGCAATTTGGGTTTAAATATATATAAATACTAATGAAGTTTTACATTTTTCAAGCACCCGAAAGTTATATCCACCAACTTGGAATGTGATTTTAATAGAGAAGTTTGTGATCCCTCAAATTGCCTGCTGCAGCAGGGACGTGGAAAATTTAAATACTTAACCTCTAGCTGTAACTTCATTAAGCCAATGAAAGCTGTAATGGTAAGGACACATATATACATATGTATATACATATGTATATACATATAGACCGGTACATTAAACTTGAATTTCATTCATTTACAGATAGATATGGAGTTAATGCGCCGCAACAAATTAGGTAATTACGAAAACTTAAATATGCGGACATCAATAAATGCTTGTAAGTGGGAAATCCTAAAAGGTGGCAATGGCATAATCAATAATATCATGACGATAAGCATGCGCAGACTAAGCAACATAAAGTGTCCACTACAGGTTCGTAACTTCCAGATTTACATTTTTATTATTTTTATTTTTATTAAATATTTCTAATTTACCAGGGCAACATCAATGTAACGCGTACACCGCTATGGCTTTTCATAGTGGAAGGTTTTCTTCCGAAAGCTGAATATAAAATGTTCGTTAAAGTGTACAATGATGCTCTTTCAATAGTAAAAATGAATATTTCAATCAGTGTCGCTTAGGCGAAAAATTGAAACTGATAGCGTCAAACAGTTAAGATACCCTCGTACATATGTACATTCGTGTGATTCTTTTAACTTAATTTCATGTAGATTAAATGTTCAAAGTTATACCCTTTAAAACTACAGCTTTTTATTAGAGAAAAAAAATCATGAAATCGTATTTTTTGTTTGATCTAATAACTTACGCTGATCATTTATGTATATATTTTATGTTCCACGTTTTCTGCGAGGAGAATTAAGTCTATTAAAAATCAAGTAATAAATATGGTATTTATTATAATTACTTGAGTTCCAAGTTGGAGCAAACTTTCGTTTAGAATTCCTGAGAGCAAATTTGTCAAGTAAATAATTGAAAAAAAAAATTTTTCCACGTCAAAGCTTGTTATCAATTCAACAACACAACCGAAGCTTTTTTGACTTCGCTTTAGCGGTTGGGAAAAAATTGTTTTGGGAATTTCATTTGAGTATACACAGCATAACAATTGCAAATTGAGGCAATAATCATCAACTTTTGAGTAATGATTAAACGATTGTTAATACTAATGATAATTAATTAATTTAACAAAATTTTGGAACTAATAACACCAATGATACCAAAAACTTTAAAAATATATGCTGAAAATAAAGCTCACATGCCAAAATGTTCGTTATATAAAAAATGAAGAAAGAAAACAGGCACTTTTTTCGAACAAACCTCGCATAAAAGTTTGATCTTTCCCTGTCGTGTTGAAAAATGTTGCAGTGAGGCTTAGAAGCCAATATAAAAAACGTCTTACTACATAGTACATCCGCTATTGCTATTGTATATAGTATAAGATTGCGTTGAAAGGTTTAATCATTAAAAAATGGAAGACTATTGCATGTATCATCTCGAAATTTTAACAGTAGTATTATACAGTAAATGGTACATTTATTTTTTCTTATTATTGGTACTTTTTTATAAACAATTTGATGGTAATTTTTTTTGGAAATTTTCAAAATTTCAATACAAAAAAAACCGTTTATATACTCAAATATTATTTCTTATCTCTCTTTCCTTACTCCCAGAACAAATTGTCAAAGTAAGTATTTTTTTTGAATGCTCTAGACCGACCTAACCCCTTTAATCTGCCCAATAATTTCAATCAATGAACTCTGTGCTCTATATCCATATATGTATGTATATGCAACAACGAAGCATAACGGAATGCTACAAATTTTACAAACGAACAGTATTTCTGAATTTATTTTCGCCTTCTTCAACTTCCTGTTCTCCAAAAATAAATCATTCAATAGAAAGAAATGCAACTATGCATGCAAACACACATACATTCACATGTGCAATACATACATATGTATGTATATAACAGTGACACCTGGTAGTAACTAGAATGTCTAATAATAAAGCCATAATCGACAGAGTAGCATAACAACATAACAACAACACCGCCGAATCATGAACAACTCGGAAAATCACCGCTTCAATTGCAACAACACTGCTATTGAGTACACATAGTACGCTCTCTCTCTCTCTCTCTCTGACACTCTCGCTTGGCTCTTCTATCGCCCGTACCACTAAGTCCTTAAGCTGCTTTGGAGCTTTTGTTAAATCACCCTAATTAATTACCAACTCATTTGACAGCGATTTGAATGAGCAATAAATAATAAAATGATTCTATAAATCATCTTCATTCGCCGAGCTATGACGTCGTAGTAAATGCGTCTAAGGCCAAATTGGTGGAAGCCAAAGCCGAAGTTGAACTTGAAGCTGTATAGATGGAGCTGGAGCGTTTGCACAAAATATTGGTGCGCCGTGGCTGCTGGCTCTGGCCACGCCGGAGCGGTGCGGCATATGAGAAAGTGTCGGGTGAAGCATGTGTGTGTGTGTGCGTTGACTTTGGATATTTGCAAGTTGAAGTTTACAAGTGAGTATTGGCGCATATGAAAGGCATTTTATGACCGGCTCCTGATCTACCACCGCGCAGCTGTGCGAATAATCGCTTCTGCATTAAGGCCCGGCACACCAAATAGTCAAAAGTACAAGAATGCCTGCGTACCAGGTAAACTTCTACAAACATACGTAGTACCGGTGCATGTATTATGGTGTATGTGTGTGTTGATGTGCATTTACATGCTCTAGGAAAGCCAATAGAAGATATTTTCACATTGCATTGCACTGAATGTGCGCCGTTCAATATTTATAAGCCAAAGAGCCAAAGGCCGTTTAAGGTAAAAATAAATATATACGCGTACATACAGACGCAAACACGTTGATATGTGTATTTTAGCTGTGAGGAAGTGCACCTATTGGAAAAATATTGGCTTCAAGCATCATTTTAGGTTACTTTGACTTTATAACGGTATTTGTAAAAACGTAACAAAGGCAGTCCCAAGGTACATATGTACGTAATAGTTCGTAAAATTTTTGGAAAACTTATAAAATAATAGGTGTTTAATCAAATAGTGCTCTCAATATATTAGCTAAACGATTTTGCCACGAAGTTTTATCACCCAGAAGGAAACGACGGAGACCTTATAAAATATTTATATAAATGATCCATGTGACGAGCTGAGTCAATTTAGCCATGTCCGTATGTATATACGCGAGCTGGTCCCGCAGTTTTTGAGATATCGATCTAAAATTGTGCCGCATATACAACAACCTGACCGATCCGAATCAAGTTCTTGTATGGAAAAATGTTTATTTGACTAGATATCTGCACGAAATTTGTCATAGATTTGGTCTAAGGCAACGCTATAATATCCGAACATATTGTTCATATTGTACATTATCGCTTCGGTGCAGTCGGAGGTAACATTTTTTCCTGTTTTAAACAAAAAAAAAAAAACAAAGTATCCCTAAAAGTGAATTCGATATATTCTTAATGTCGCTCCTATATAACAAAAAAGTACATGGATTTGTATCTGCAAAACACTATTAACTCGATAGCATGAAACAAAAGTATTTGGTGAATATTTTATGCAGAATTCGAATGTTTCTCGGAATAGGTTTTATGACCTTCAGCAGAAAGAGGCTTTAAGCATTTATCGATGATCAATTTGAATAAAATAGTGAGCATCAAGCAGTGATTTCCAAGGTTTATTCAACCCGTACCCATATTACTGTTAGTTTATCAACCTCAAAACCATTTTTCAAAACAACGGGATATTTTTTCACCGGAACATTTAAATACCTCAAAGGAAATAGAATGAGTGTTTCGGAAATTGGTTGAAACGAAGTCTATAAAATAGTAATTTTGAGAAACAGTAAAGTCTTTGTGTATATTTAGGTACCTTAACACTTAAGTACAACTCCTTGCCACTTAAGATATATATCCGCCAAAACGAATACAATTATGAACTGAAAAAATAAGTATAAGATTTATTTCAAGAAATCTATTATTTTTACTTTAAGGTATTTTTTGTCATAGTTAAATTATCCGATTAAAGTGAAATATGCACCGTTTTCTTGGTATTTTTACCACTCTCATAGGAACCCTTGTCCATATTAACAAAAAACAGGGTTAGTCGATTTTTACATGCTTCTTTTGAAGCGAATTTTGCAAAAACAAAATCATTCGCCATTGACAAGGAAAGGTAGTAAGATATTAAGTCTAAAATATAAGGTGGAAGGTGATTCAGTAGTAAGCTTCTCAAGGTTTTCCGACAGGGTATACATAATAATATTCATAATACATGTATGAGAGTATATGAGTTAGTCTATTTGTTTGGCTGGCATTTTTACCACTTTAACGAATTGATCTCAATGAAATTGCCTAACAAGACAAGCTAAATAACACCAACAATAATGAGCACTAACATCCACACATACATATGTATAAGTGGAGGCTGATTGTTGGCAACGCGGCATGCCAACGACCTAGTAAACGATGTGTGGCGAAACGCGCAAGCAACAACAACAATAAACATAATAGCAACACCATGAACTTGGCGCGATGGATAGACAAGAACTCAAACTGGTGAACCATTCAATCGCTGCTCTCGTGATTTAACGCACCGGCCACAATCGCAGCGACAGGGGCAACGTGTGGCACACGCGTGCATACAAATGTGCATAGCAGTAGTAGATACCACGATAGAGCCGAGTAACATCAGCGGCAACAATAATCAACAATTTGTTGTCGTTGGCTTCTTGGTTTGCATGCCACAAATTTTACACGTGCTCCAACTGCTGCTATGTGCTTTTGTAGTTATGTTGTAAGTATGTGGCAACATGGTTATGCATGCATACATACATACATACATATATATGAGTATGCAATGATGGTAAATATGTGCAAAAAATGTTGCAGCTTTTCACTTTTCACAAAAAAAGTTGCAGAAAGGAAATATGTTGTTGTTGTTTTTCTATATCCGTATAAGTATGGTTTAGGCACCGCATCGTAATGATGACACTTGTCATTGCTTAGATACTCCCGACATAAGGTATTTTTCACTTTAAAAGAGAAATTCACTATTTAAGGCCGCATTCGATGGAGAAACGTACGTAAGTAGAGATAAACTTTTCTTGAAAATATTGTCACTAATTTCTTACAAACACAGATAGACATATGTATGATCGCTATTTGTCGGTGTCCAGATGGTGATTTCTCATTAAAAAATATCCATCTTTGGTATATGTCACGTTCTCTTCTAAGTGTAAAAAGAAGTGACAAAAGAATATCGCTATAAAGCAAAGCGCAGCAAATTCTAACTTTTTTATGAAATTAGTTCAAAAAGCAAAATAAAACAAGAAAAACTGTTAACTTTGGTTGCACCGAAGCTATAATACCCTTCACAAATACAAAAGATTCCACACAAAATTTTGATTTTGATTGGTCAGTTTGTATGGCAGCTATATGCTATAGTAGTCCGATCTGAAAAATTTACTCAGATATTATAGCATAGCCTTGGACAATAATCCGTGCCAAATTTCGTGAGGGTATCTTGTCTATAAAAAGGTTTTCCATACAAGGACTTGATTTAGATTGGTCAGTTTGTATGGCAGCTATACGCTATAGTCGTCCAATATGTATATATATATATACAGACAGACGGACGGACATGACTAAATCTACTCTGCTCGTCATGTTGACCGTTTATATATATATATTTTTTATTGGACCTCCAACGTTTTCTTCTGGGTGTTACAAACTTCGAGGCAAGTTTAAAATGCCCTGTTAAGGGTATACAAAGCTTTTCAATAAGATACCTGTACTAGCACTTCGGATGCTCCGTAGAGCACTTCGGATGCTCGAAGATGTTCCGTTGTAAAGGCCACATCCAGGTGACCCGAAAAGGGTTACCATTAAGGACAATTTAAAAAAGTGCACTTGCATTGGGCTGATTTAAGTGTCGGGAGATAACTAAGTCAACTGAGTGTTTATAATAATATTGGACGCTGTTTGAGCGCAAAATGAAGGAACTTCTGCGCCGTTTCGTGACTATCGCCAAAACGTGAATCCACTGGTACACAACAAACACTAAAGAATATTCGTGGACAGTGAAGTTCACCCGACGATTCTGTTCCGAAAAAAAACAAAGA